GGCGCGCCTGCTTGACCTGCTCGGCCAGCCTCTCGTCGGACCAGGTGTCGGCGTTCAGATAGAGAAGCATGTGCGTGGCGTCGCCCGCCTCCTCGGCGGTGGAGACGGTGAGACCGGAGAAATTGGTGGCGAGCTTGGTGGCCAGCTCGTCTGCGCCCTCATCGAACGGCGAGGCCCAGAGCACGACGGACTTGGAGAAGGAGATCGGCTGGCCCTGGACCTCGCCCGGGATGAAGAGCGGGAGGGAGGTCAGGCTCGAGTAGTTTGGCGAGCTGAGGAGGAGCGCCTGAGGGTAGGTGCGAGGGGGCGGCGGTCAAGGTCGAGGCGACGGCAGAACAGCTGCAGGGAGTTGTCCGTGGCGGCACCTCGGAGATGATCTTAAGCGAGACACGCTGATACTCGTCGATGCGGTGCCACGTCGTCTGCGCCCACCCCCTGTCAAAGATCTCCGGCTGGAGGCCCTCCGGGCACTGAGCTCGCAACTCCTGCAGTCGTGCAGCGACGGTGTGCGTGAGTGAGTGCTGGCGTGCGGCGGCGGCGGCGACACCGCCCCTCAGAGCCGTGTGTGGCGAGAGCAATCGCACTCCCCGCAGGGTCATCGAGCTGGGGGCGGGCGGGGAGCGCCTGCAGCGTCCCGCCGCCCTTGGCCGGGTCCGCCTCTTGCACGAGGACGAGCGGCTTCCTCTTCTCGAGCGACGTCTGAATCTCGCGCAGGCAGTTCTGCAGGCAAGGAGCGCACGAGTAGTCGTGGGCGACACAGCGAGGCACTCTCGGAAAGGGAGGGGCTGGGGGAGTGCCTTCGAGCGGAAGTAGCCCTTCGACAGGAAGAAGAGCATGACCTGCGTGCGGTCAACGTAATCCTCCAGCGACCCGATGTCCTTCAAATCGTCCACATCGAGGAAGATCTTGATGCCGGGGATCAAGAGCTTAAGCTCATTCTTGATGACCGCGACGGCGTCTTGGCCGGTGGACCTATTCGGGGAGTGGCGGGTCGTTCTGGCGGGTTCTCCTACGCCGCGTCTCCCTCTGACCACAGGACTGACCAGATGTGCGAGAGGAAGAGGTGCCACGTGAGGCCGTCCACCAGAGCCAGCTCGGGGGGCTGCTTGGTTGAGACGAGGCGAATCGTGGGGACCTTGGCAAGGCGGCGGATGGCGATGATGGTACCCACGAGGAAGATCAGGAGCGCAGCCGCAGCAAGGACGAGCATCCAGTTCACCAGTCCATTCTCGGACCTGAAGCCGAGGACGGCGGAGGCCGACTGCCCCGGCTCGTCCCCGGGGAATCGCAACTCGATGTTGAGGAAGATGGTGGTCCAGCTGGCACCGAGGAAGAGGAGGAGGAGGACGAGGCTGGTGGCCTGCAGTGCGAGCCGCGTCCGTTGGGCTCAGAGTGACTGCAGTGGGAAGGGCGTGTGTGGGGTGGGTGATGGACTGGCCACGGCGATCCAAGCGTGTGCTTGAGAGCTGCAGCACAAGCAAGCGCAAAGGGCGTGTGGGATTGGGCGAAAGGCGCACCACGGCGAGGATGTTGTCCTCGAACCGCTTGTAGGGCTGGACCAGGGCGATCGCGACGGCGTAGCACGAACACACGAGCACCGCCACGACGAGACGAACAAAGGAGTCCTCCTCCTCGGCAACCAGCAGCACGAAGCCCGTCAGAAAGAGCTTGCGGGCCAGATCGGCCGCCTCCCACCAGTACCAGTTCCTTTTGTACTCCCGGTGAAGGAAGGCGGTGGCCTTCGTCAGCGCGTTCGGCGACTTGGCCTGCAGCGGCTTGTAGCATGCGAGAAGAAGGGCCGAGTAGAGGACTAGCGAACCGACCGGCCAGAGGACGACGAA